GCAGACTAGCCCACTGAGCACAGATGTTCCTGTGAGCGGGAGAGCGTGTTCTCAGTGCTATATAAGGACAAGCCAGGAAGTGGACCCTGACCAGAGCAGGCCACTGTGCAAGGGCTTGGGCCTCCAGGCTTCAGGGCTTGATCAGATAAACATGAGGTGGTAGTTGCTCCCACTCTGCTGCTTTTGCCACTGTTTTGGGCCTGAGTCTCTCTTGGTGGTCACTCTTCTGTTGATGACAAAGTGTCTCTGCAGAGCAGACTTGCATTTGCTCCCTGTAGATGTCCCGATCTCTGTGGCTCTGAAGTAACATGACTCTGTTTTTGCTTGCCATTTCTGTGCCATGCTGGTCATACATATGTGGGTCACATGCCTGTGGGAGATACAGGCTTAGGGGTCCTTGGGCACCTGTGTAAAATGGATACAGACAGGAGTCACCAGGGGCTGAGAGGTAGTTGCACATGGTGAGTGCTGGGCTCCGCTGAGTGGCATTTGAGGGGCCGTGGCCTGGCCTTCTTGCATTCTTTTCAGTGTGTTAAGCAGTGCCCACTATTGGAGTTTGCAAAGTAAGACAAGCAGCACTGCTTGCAAAGGGCCCTGCCACACTGATTGTGCCCACAGCCCGTCAGGGATGGCAGTGTCACCATCTGCCAAGTGGTGTTGGGATCCTCTGCTGACTCATCTTTGAGTCCTGTCCATTTTACTGCTGCTGGGCTGTTCGAAGCTTAGGCTCCTCAGGAATGCTCAAGGTCCTCACACCTGCTCTTAGGGTTTCTCTTGTGATAAATCACTGACCAAAAGCAAGTTGGGGAGGAAAGGGTTTAAGCTTAGTCCATCATGAAAGGGTCAGGACAGTAACTCAAGGCAGGGACTGATGTGGAGACCACAGAGGAGCACCGTTTGCTGGTTTGCTCAGTCTGCGTTTTACACAGCCCAGGACCAGCAGCCCAGGGGTGCACTGCCCACAGTGGGCTGGGCCCTCCCACCTCAGTCATTAATCAAGAAAATGCTTCACAGACTTGCACACACACCAATCTGATAAAGGCAGGTTTTTTTTTTTGTTGTTGTTTGTTTTGTTTTGTTTTGTTTTGTTTTTCAACTGAGGCTCCCTCTTCCTCCATGACCCCAGCTTGTGTCAAGTTGAGAAGAACCCAGTCAGGACAGCAGGGTGTCTGCTGTGGTTGACACTGTGCTGTGAGCAGCCGAGGCTGATGGGAGATGCACAGCACTCTGTGGCGTGTGGCCCTGAGAGCAGATGGGTTGTCTCCCCCTGCCTTGGCAGAATCGAGAAGAAGCGTACCGTGGTGCCCACGCTGGCCGGAGCGGTCCAGGACGGGAGGGAGGTGAACTGGGAGTACTTCTACAGCCTGCTCTTCACTGCTGAGAACCTGAAGCTGGTGCACATTGCCTGCCACAAGAAGACCACACACAAGCTGCAGTGTGACCACAGTAGGATCTACCGGCCCCAGACTGGACCCAAGAGGAAGTGGCCTGCTCGGAATCGGCCTGCTCGGAAGCGCCAGTGACTTGTGCTATGCTGTCTTCGCAGTGACAGCAGTGGTGAGGGGGCTTTGTTTTGTCACTCTAGAAGGTTCTAGAAAGGTCCTTAGCAGTCTTTCCAACAGATCTTCCCAGTGCTTCCCCAGCCTCTGGCAGTGCTGGGTGCTCACTGGGTTCTGAAGCAGGGTCTTCACACTCATGACCCAGGGCTGAATGTGCCCACTGTGGTATGGGGGAGGGTGCTGGTTTGTGCTCAGCTTTTATGGCCTCCATTTCCACTGCAAATGGCAGCTCTGACTACATTCCTCTGAAAGAAATGGTGCTTCTGGGGTAAATGTTTGCATTTTATAATGAACGTGCAGGACGCTCTCTGCTGAGCTATTTAAAATGGCAGAAGGTGGGAAGCCTTCCAGATGTCTCCTGGTGGGAACAGCTGACTGTGGCCATGTGAAACTGCTGTGTTTAATGCATTAAATAATGGCCGTCATGAATTTCATAACTCAACCCTAATAAATATATGTATGCACAATTGGAGCAGGTTTAAGCTTTTATGTGTAGAAATGGGAAGCTGTGAAATGCACAGATGGCTTACCTATGAGGAGAATGACCTTGAATTTGTGATCCTCCTGCCTCATCCCTAGAGCTGGGATTACAGGTGTGTACCACCACAGCTGGTGTTTGCTTTTGTAAAGTTGTCGTCTTGTGCCCAGAGACAGTCTGAGGAGCTGCTGTAGTGTGAAAGCAGCAGTCCTGGGGGGTTCTGCAGGGATGGGATTGGTTACCAGGTACCAATCTCCTACAGCACCTGTTTTATAGTACTTGAGTTCCTTTCCTGAGGCCCGGTCTCACTGTGTGGCTCTGGCTGGTCTGGGGCTCACTGTATAGATCAGGCTGGCCTGGAACTCAAGAGTTCTGCCTCCGACTCCTGAGTGCTGGGATTAAAGGTGTGTGCTACCACACCCAGCCTGAGCTTATTTTGGAAATTAGCATTTTACAGGTTCTTTAATGTTTGGATTTATACATGTGCCATGTAATCAGAAAAACAATAAAGTGTTTAAGAAATAGACATGTCAAGAAAGTTGGAATGTACTGAGGAAGATGGGGCGAAGAGATACAAGCAGCCAGAAGTTGAACAGTTGTCCTGGGTGAGTCCATCTTCACAGAAACAGCCAGACGTGCCTCAGGCCAGCCAGGTGGAGCTTGTGGAGGACCTGGCAGCTTTTTTTCAGTCATGGGCCACACAGTCACAGTGTGCCGCCTTCTGTTTCTCTGCCCTTCCCAAACAGCCTGGGACATGCAGAGTCACTTTCCTACCAGGGCTGTTGCCACGACTGGGCTCTCTGAACTTTGACTTTTGTTATGTGTATGTCTGAGTCTGTGTTAGTGTACCATGTGTATGCTGGTGCCAGCGGTCGGTCGGGTCAGATCCCCTGGAACTGGCATCACAGGGGTTGTAAGCCGTTGTGTGGGTGCTGGACCCCAGTCTGGGTCCTCTGCAAGAGGGGCAAGTGCCTTAGAAGCCGAGGCCTCCTTCCAGCCCCAAGTGCGACATGTGTGGCCTTCTGTCACCCACATCCCGGCTATCATGCCTAGTGGCTAGGCGGGATGCAGAGCACTGCAGCTCTGAGGGGAAGCCAGAAGGCTGGCCTAGGAGGGCATGCTTTGCCTGCTTCTGGGCCCTCAGCTGCTTAGAGCGATGGCGTAGTGGGTGCAGATGAGAAGTATCATGGATAGGAATTGTCACCCAAACCCCCAGACTCCAAGATAATGTAGGGGTGAACCTCAGGAAAAAAAAAAGTAAACTAAAAAATATGAAATGACCCGGATTCATTGTGCTGTCGACAGTCAGTGAGAGACAGCAGAGGCCTGGGACCCAGGCAAGTGTAGGGAGTGAGCTGCACAAGCCAGAGGGGAGTGAGCAAAGGGTTTAGATGCCAGACTGCTCTGAGCTGCTGCCAACTAGTGTGACAGCTGGGCATTCCTAAGCAAGGCAGAGCCACTGGAGGCGGCTAGGAACACTTCTCCTTAAACCTGTGAGTTCAGGGAAGGGCCTGTCCTCAAGACACTCCTGCAGGAGCCCGCGCCCGGTGCCTGCGAGGTGCATTCTGTATGCTCCAGGCCCTTGGCCCATTTGACCTGTGGGGAGGCTGGAGTGGAAACAACAGGTCTTCTGCAAGGAGCCAGGCGGCTGGCCTCCAAACTATCCAGGGCCTGACCGGCTGACTCCCATTGTCTTGGAGTGACAGGACTCCACACGGACGCCTCCCGGGACCCTGCACTGAGCTCCCCACGCAGCTGCTTCAGTCGGTGCCCTCTTGCTGCATTCACTGGCTGCGGAATCCTGGGTCACTGGTTCCCAACAGGGTGCCACAGTGGGAAACCAGGATGTGCCTGCTTCAAGTTGCCCTGACTGGGCCCTCCACAGGGCCCATGTAGTGCTGAGCTGGCTCAGGCTCTTAACCCAGCATAATCCCAAGTGCTAACCACCACTGATTCTAATAACTTGCATTAATGTGTTTAAATTCTGATATTTAAAGCAGTGTGTGTGTTCTCGCTCATGCACACAGCATGTTTGTGAAGGTCAGTTCTTTCCACCGTGGGGTCTGGGGATTGAACTCACAGGCTCGGCAGCAAGCACCCTTACATGCTGAGCTGGCGTGGAGGCCCTACTTAGGTTTTGTTTGCTGTTGCTGCAGTGGACCCTCTCCTTGTGTCCTTCTGTCCCGTAGCCACCCACCATCCTGTCTGCCTGTGTTCTGGCAACTCTTCCCTCTTCTGATAGGCCTGGGGACTCAGGTCTGTGACTGCCTCCCTCAAAAAATACCCTTCCAATTCCCATAAGGAAGGGTTCTGATAGCTTCCCAGGAAGGACGCCACAGCAGCCATGGGGCCAGTTAGGATGGGACAGTTGTCCCCTGCTGAGGCCTGGTGCTTCCCAGCCGGTCCATCAGCAGGCAAAGAGTGAGTAAAGGAAGTGTGTGCCCAGGGAGGGAAACGAGATGGTCACGGCATGTCTGGACTAAGTGTGTGCTGCTCCCTGATGTCTGCTTGCAGACACCACCCAGCTGTCTTTTCCAGAGGCTGGCTACTGGAAGAGGACAGGGAACAGCTTTAAACTGTAGCTCATCAATAAGGAGGTGAAGGTCACAGCTAATGAGAAAGCATCTCAGTGGAAGGTGAGAATGATGGGGCGTGAAATTATCTGGGTGGGGTGGGGTGGGCAGGTCTGTCTTAACAGGAGAACTGAAAACTCCTTACAGGCCTGAACACTTTGCTTTTGCATAGGACCCAAGTTCAGTTCCCAGTCCCCACATGGCTAGCCTCCCAGCAGAGCAGGGAAGGACCGTCATGATACCTCTTGGTCAAGGCTTGTATCAGTGACCTTGCCTTTCCTCCTTGCTAATGGGCCTGCAGAGTGGTCTGAGCCTAGGACGAAATTCATTTCCTCCCTTGGTTCTCAAATGAGAGATGATAGTTTTGGGGATACAATATGTCCTTAAAAGTACTTTCAAAATATATTTTATTTCCTTCTCATATGTACTTTGCAAAAAACTACAAGATAAATGACTAGCTTCACTCAAACAGGAGTCCTTCCAGAAGAATTGGAATTCATCTCCAGTGATGAGTTTGGCATGGAAAGTAAGCTTCTGTTACCAAAACCAAAGCTCTCAGGAATTTTCCCTGTTTCCCGCTGCCCAGCCCCCTGCTGACCTGTGCCAGCATGGTATGTCTATGAAAGCAGGAAAAGGCATCAGCACACAGGCCTGCGGTCATAGCCAGCTGCTTGTGCTGGTGACATTCATGTCAGTTTTGTGTTCAGCGAAGAATGTGTTCTCTTGAAGGTGGCATAGAAATCTGCTGCATCGTCCGATGGTTAACCGCTCAGCAGGCAAAGACCGCGCTAAGGCTCTGCGTCATCCTCATCGTCTTTGGCTCTGAAATGCATTTTTCTGAATTCTCGTCTGCTCATGGAAGGACAGGATGAAGAGGCTGGTGGCAGATCCTTAGAGGGAAGAAAATACCACTTCAGTCTTGAGTGACATTGCTAGGGCCTGACCATAGTCTGCTTGGGGCCTTGCAGAGCAAGCCTGTTACAGATATGGGAAATCTGTTTAGACACTGGTCCCTTGGTAAGAAAGATACCATACTCCAAAAGAGACAGCAACAGAGACATGGCAGCATGTTCACAGAATCACACATCTGAATTGTTGACCTTGCTGTGTGAGGTCCAAGACACACCCAGGGGCCTGAGGCCAGGGACCCTTCTTCCCATTCTTTTAGACTGGAGCTGCCTCCCAGCTTGTGAGTCTGAGAGTGGGGCTGGGGTGACGGGGAGCCGATCCAGTGAGCACACACCTCACTTTCTCCCTCTCCCTGCATTACCAGGGTCAGTTGTGCTCACCCTTGTGTTGTGGCAGTGTGGGCACACTGTAAACTGGGAGCACGTGGAGGAACTGCAGCAGAGACGAGGTTAACTCTCACCTGCATGAGCTCGACGTTCCCGAAGAAGCGGCTCACAGGCATGGGCTGGTTGCTGTCATCGTCTAGAAAGATGCTGCTGTCCATCTGAAGCACAGGTGCCTGCCCCTCCTCTGTCCTGGGCACGGGCTCGGCCTGTCTGGCAGAGCCGTCAGGGGGCTCCTGGGCTGCAGCAGCATTGCTGGGTTCTGCTGTGGGCAGGCCATCTTCAGCCTTCGCCGAGGGTTCCTCACTCACAGGCTCGGAGCAGCCCTGGGGTGGTGTGTCGACCTCTGGTGCAGGGACAGCAGCCTTAGCACCATCCTCTGCCAACTTATTTTCACAAGGGGCCACTTTTGGCAAAGAAGAAATGTCACTTTTAGAGTCAACTTTTGGTGATTCTGCCTTCACAAGGTGACCTTTGTCATACTTGAACTTTTTGGAAGTGCGCTTGTCTGTAGCCTTGTGTGATGAGGAAGCCTGCCAGGAAAGAAAAATGTAAGGAAACCAGACCCATGGAGCAGAGGCACAAGCCTCAGCCCCAGAAGCTCCCGTTCCTCTGCCTGAGACACGTCAATGCTGAAGTCACTGTCTGTTCTGCTGCTAAGGAGCAAAGCAGATTGGAGGCCAAGGAGGACTCCACAGCACCAGTCCAGCAAACTGCTTTCCCGGGGCTCTCTTTCCTGAGTGCATGTTTGCTTACTTTAAAGCCATCGTAGGGACAAACAAGATGGCTTAGAGCATAAAGGTGCCAAAACTGCATCTCAGAACCCACACGATGGAAGGAGAGAACCCTCCCTGCTGTAAGTTGCCCTCCGACCTCTACCTATGCACCATGGCATGTGTGCCTCTTCTCAAAATAAACAACAGTGTTACTTTAAACAAATCACACCCAGTTTCCGTCTCCCCTCGAACAGCAAGCACCAAATGCCCAGGAGTCTTTTATCCATTGACAGTGCCTGAACACTGTAGGAAGTCAGCAGATACTCAGGCTGGCTTCAGCAATGCTAGCGTGCTGTGTTCTGAGGAAAGTGCTGTGCAAAGCCAGGCGTGCCTCAAGCCGCAGCTGCCCTGGTTTAAAGGATAAGAGTCCTTGCTGTGATGCACAGCAGAATGTGTGAGTCCTTTCCTTGCTCCCTGACAGTTCTTTCCGCTCCAGGGGTGAAGAGGGGAACAGACTCACACACTGCACATGGTACAATGTCAGAGGGGCACCATGCAGAGACACATGCGTGGTGCACCAAGGCCAGAAAGGCAGCTGTATGGCAAAGCACACCCTCTCTGACGGCAGCGCAGGCCCTGCCACGCCCTCTGTAATGTCTCCCAGGCTGTGCACAGCAGCAGCAGCATGTATTTTACACAACCATCTTGCAGTGACAACTGTAGAAACAGACAGAGCCCAGGCCTTGGTGTTCTTGATCTTGAGGCTTACCAGACATGCTGTCTTGGCAGACGTGGATGTGGTGATGTCCTCGGCAGAAGGCAGGTTGGCTGAGGTGTAACTCTGGGCCCGAAGGCGAGGTGAGGATCGCACTCCACCTGTGAGCTAGACAAGAGTGAAGCTCAGAGAGCATGTTCATGGCAGGCCACAGCAGCGGTCAGTGCCCCAGGCCTACCCCCATCCCCTCACCTGTAGGCAAAGATGGCTGTGCCCAAGCTGGTTCAACCCACATGTCTAGGTTTAGACACAGGGTCAAGGGTCAGTGAGATGGCTCAACGGGAAAGGGGGCTTGCCGCAAGGACTAAGGACCTGTGTTCAATTTCTAGGACCCAAATAGTGGAAGAAAATAACTTCTATGAATTGTCCTCTGGCCTGCACGCACACTGTGGCACCTGTGCACACACACACACTTTAAAGAAAAAACTGGATGCAAGGTTGGCTGTCCACTATGGAGGCTCAGGACCATCAGTCCTCGTCTTGTATGTGTCTAAAAACCAGGGAGTAGATATGAAGCAACCCATGTGCCATACGTGTGCATACCCTTTCTTAGAAGGCTTTCACGTGTTTATATGGTGTCAAAGCCCCTGACCACGCAGCATGGAGCACCGTCACCAGCCCCTGCACTCACACCTCTCCTCCTCGCCAGTGCCAATCACCAGAGCACATGGCTTATATGGAGTATGTTTGTTCGGGGTGCCTCCAGGGCCTGCCCTGTGCTGTGCAGAGTCTCCACCAGCGTCTCTGCTATGGCCCAGCTTACCTTTTTTTTTTTTTTTTTTTTTTTAAATTTTAGTACAGGGTCAGATGTGTCCCAGGCTGGCCTCAAACTTCCCACAAAGCTAATGATGACCTTGCACTGCTGAGCTGGCCTGTACACCGCAAGTGGTAGGATTACAGATGTGCGCTGCCGTATCTGGCTTTTGTGGGGCAGGGAAGTGAACGCAAGAGCACATGCACACCAGGCAAGCATCCTACCAGCTGCGCCACATTCCCAGCTTTTTTGAGATAGTTTCATTAAATTACTCTGACAGGTCTTGAATGCCAGATGCATTGGAAAGAAAGAAAAGAAGGAAGCAAGGGAGGAAGACAGAAGGAAAGAGAGTGAGCGAGCAAGAGAAAGGAAAGAAGAAAGTAGAAAAGGTATTTGAAGAAAGAATGGCTGAAAACTTCCTGTTTACTGAAAACAATCTATACATCTAGAAAGCTCAGACCCAACTCCAAGTTGACAGACCATCTGTGACATAACAGGGAGAGGATAAACATACAAATTCCTGTGACAGTTCTAATCCTGGAGGAACTGGTAAGAAATCCCCTGCTCCGCACAAACAGTGGAAGCCGCGGCCAGAATGCTCAGGCACTTAACAAAACGCCAGCGCAGAAAATCCACAGCCAGAAACCTGTCCTGGGAAATGAACGTAAGAATAAAGAAATTTCCAGCTGGAAATGGAGGACTGTTGCTTTAGAACTGCTGGTGACCAAGTACACTCAGATGCCCCCCCCCCCCCCTCAGGCATGCCCTTATACAAAATATTTTAAACACGCTTCTTTCAAAAGGCAAAAGGGGCGACATGTTAATAACACAAGAAATAACAGAGGAGGAGTACGAGGAAGCCTTGCTGGAGTAGCTGCAGATGGTAACGACTGCCAGACTGGGCTATTAACAGATTTCTAACAAAATACCCCTAAAGTGGGGAGAGAACTTCATGAGAGTTAGACCCTTCTGTGTCTCCCTGAAGTTGAGGTATTCTGAAAACAGCCACACAAAGAAGTACAAAACATACTGAACAATTATTGAAGTCTTCTGATGCAAATGAGGGACAGCAGTGAAGACAATACCGACACGGGAGACATTTTCTATCAACCACGCTACAGGTAAAGGGCCTGGATTTCGGCCAGCTGTACACACTTGCAGACACACTTCAGGCTCAAGGACGTGATAACGGGAGTTGGGGTTCACTGTGGCTGCCATGCCAGGCCAGAGTCCCTTTGCAGTAGGTCCCTGTCACCTTCCCTACTGTCACCCCCGCGTCCTCAGCCGCGTCAGATACGATACAGGGTCTTGGCTGAGCAGCTGCACCATGCTCATTTGTGGGCAGTGGAGGGGCAGGAAGCCAGGGCGGCAGCCCGCACTGCCTGGGGCAAAGCACGGGTCTCGGAGGGCCCCATCCAGTCCAGTGGCACGCTTGCAGCCCTCAGCCCAGGGAAGGCTGTGTCTGCAGGCCCCGTCCTGGGCTCAGGCAGAGGTGGGGAGGAAAGGGGTGCAGGGGCAGTGAGGGCTTCCGCCCCAGGGGCGGGGCCTGGGGAACCCAGAGAGGCGCCCGCCCCTCGGCGGCCCCCCAGGGAGCGCACGGCCGGCGGCGCGCATGCTGCCTGCCGGGCCCCTCACCTTCCTCCTCCTCATGAGTGTGCGCCCGGCCTAACGCTTCTCGGCGAGTCTCCACCGCGCGGCTCCGAGCGCGCGCGCGCGGGGCGCCGCTGCGTCCGACGTCACCACCGTGCGGCCAATCACGGGCCGGCGTCCCCGGGCCACGTGCCCCTAACGAGGTTGGATCTTACCGAAAGCAGGCCGAAGGCGCCCTCCGGAACGCGAGCCCAGGCCCGAGCGCCGGAAGCCGGGCGACGTGCCTGCCGAGCAGGGAGGGGCGCTTTCCAGAGTATGCGCGCCGTGCCTGGCCGCCATTTTGAAAAAGGCACGTCCTCTGAGGCCTCCGTGGCCGCCATGTTTGAAGAGGGCGCTACCTTTGATGCGTGAGGTCGCCATGTTTGAAAAAGGCAAATCCCTCGATGCCTCCGTCGCCGCCATGTTTGAGAGGGGCCCACAGTCAGTTCGGGTTCCCAATCATCCCGAGCGCGCCGCGGGACTTCAGCCGGGCGACGAGGGCCCAGCTCTGCGCTCTGTGAAGCTCAGAGTGTGCAGTCGCAGAAGCTCAGCGACTAGAGCCATTTGCACTCAAACATGACAATCTGAGTTTTGACCCCCCAAGACCCACATGGTGGAAAGAGAGAACCGAATCTTACAAAGTATCCTCTGACAAGACTGACGCTCTCTCTTGAGATTGACTCACTTATTCACTCTCAAAATAAATAAGTGTAATAATAATAATAATAAATTTAATAATAATAAAAAAAGAGCTTCAAATATACAAATGAAATCTTTGGCCTCAGGCTCTGGTCCCGCTGGGCAGCTGCAGGGAGACTCCGGTCTCGTTACTTACAAAGTGAGAGACTGACATCTTTGTTTTGGCATCGTTGTAAGGGTGAGACTCTGGAGGCCTGAGAGTAAAAAGCTCCCTGGTTCCCCTTGGCTTCTGGAAGTCGTTCTTGTTCCTTGCTGCCCACAACTCTCTCCAAGCCTAGACCAGGCCGCACCTCTCTCTAGTGCACTAAAGGAGACAAGAATGAAAAGAGCCTGTGTGCGCTGCAGAGCCGCACAGAAGGTCCCACTACGTATTAGAGACGGATGGAGGCCCTGAAATTAGTAGGATTAGGCTGTGGGCATGGAGCCAAGTACCCTGCAGCCTCGGCATGCTGGTGCCCTCCGTTCACCTTCCTGGCTGGCGTTCCCTCCACCTCAGCCTCATGCCTCCTCACCATTATTTTCCATGATGCTTGGAAGGGGACTGACAGATGTATGACTGGCAGGAAATCCATTGGAAAAGGAATTAATATAATCACAGCCAGCCATTAAAAACCAGCATGTGCTGTGACACAAGGAGTCAGCCTGGTCGTCACCGTGGTTAAGTGTAAGCTTGGCTCAGTGATTTCTCTCTGCCCTTCAGCGTGATCAGGGGCAGAAGCCAGTTCCCCGTTCTCCTGGGTTTTGAGGTTGGTGTCAGTCAATCTAAAAATGTGCTGTTCCAAGGTTAACACACCAAAAGCCTCATGGTCTCTGTTTGTTTCAATTTTGTAGTGATTTACACTATTGTAAGAGTGTTTTGCCTGCATATTTGTCTGTACCATGCGAGTGTCTGAAGCTCTTGGAGGTCAGAAGATGGCTCTGGGTCTCCTGGAGTTATGGGTCGGTGTTAGCCCCTCTTGGGTGCTGGGAACTCAACCTAGGTTCTCTTCGGTAGAAAAAGTGCTCATCCTGAGCATAGGTGTCTTGTGCCCTCATTCCCAGCTAGGGTGGGAATGGTGTTCCCTCAGTTGCTTCCCGGGGTGATCCCTGTGTTGTACTCTTCCCCAGCGCATCCACACAGCAGTTCGGTAAGTCTGGACTGGCATGTCAGCTGGGCTACCCTCTACCCTTTCCCTGGCCCTGTCATTGCAGATGTGTCAGGATAGATCTATGGCAGGAGCTCTTCTGATGGCCTTACTGCTGCTAACATTAAGGACAGGGCCTGTGAGGTCCTGCCAGGCACCCACAGTAGGCCCTGGATGGGCCTCTCCCCTTGCTGGCTGCCATGTCTTTCTAAGACAGACATAAAGGTAGTGGAGAGTATGGGGTACTAGAAGGGGAGGATCCCCTCACCCCTCACCTGGCTGAAGCCTCTTGACAGATGAGAAGGGAGAACCCCTTCTCACTATAGACATTTCTTATGATTGCTGGTAACATAGGTTTAACATTCCTTTCATTTTTGATATTTTGTGTTAAAATAGTAATAGGTCAGGCTGAAGGCCTGAATTTACATGACCTTAGGAAGAGTTTCAATCCTTTTCTCATTTTCACTTGTTTTACTGTGTGTGTGTATGTGTGTGTGTGTGTGTTCTTATTTCCCCCACAGAGTCTATGAAGTCAATTCAATTTGTTTATAGTAAAGACATACCACCTTCCTGCATATCCTTGACTGAGAGTTTAACCCTATCAATCACAGTCTCATCAGGGCCCCTCAGGGACCACCTGTAATCTTACTTAGGTTCCTTAGGAACTCCTTGAAGACAACAACTTCAAAGTCTACCATGCCAGGCCTGCATCTAACTGTTAAAAGATAATGAGATAAGACTCTCAGAGAAGCTCACCCTGACACTGTCTCTAGATCCTTGTTCATTCTCTTAATCTTTGACCTTAAAAATCTATATTTAAAATGTCTTTTTAATAAACACCATACTGTTTTATACTGGCTTGCTGTGAAATATTTTTCTGCTAAAGTCAAAGATTTAGTATTGTGCCGGAGCCCGCTGGCAGAGTTAAACAGTTTCCTGAGTGGTGAGTGAGAATTGAAATAATTAAAGTAAGTTACACTACACACAAAATCAGCTCGAGAGGGCTGTCAGTAAGACTGCAGTATGAGTTTATCCCACAATTCCTTTTTATAATCAAAACAAAAACAAGTCACATCAATACAAGAAGTTTGTGGAACTGCCAAACATTTTATAAAACTACTTCCCTGTAGCAGATATGGTCCAAGGTCACACAAACAAGTTTTAAAGAACTTGGCGAAACTTCCTCTTTTCTCTGTCTCAAGGTGAAGGCCTGGGTGAAAACACATTTTTTTTTTTTAATGAATAACAAAGCATCTTGACAAACAAGCAACTCTCCACAGTTTTGTTTCAGTCAAGTGGAGGCAGACAAGCATAGGGAATGGCTTAGCAGCTGGGTACTCCATCTGGCTTGGGCTATACACACACCCTGGCAAGCTAGGATCCCTTACCTGGTTATCCTATGCTTGTACACCCCTCTCCTAACAAGGCACCTAGCCACTTAAGAGCCTCCACCTGCACCAAGCTGCTATACGGGCCTGCCATGACCTGCATGGTTTTGGAATTGTCGTGAGTAGGGTGATGAGAGAGCGAAGAAAGGGCAGGTATGCTCAGAAAAGCTGGGATTGGGTGGGTAGTGCGTTGTTATGGAGACAAATCAGCAGCCTCTGGACACTCAGAACATTTATAGGTGTGAATCCAGGAGGTGGGTTGGATAATCTTGGTAGGAGGTCTCTGAAGAGGGATAGTTTCAGGTTGTAGTGAGCTGGAAGGAGGAAACTGCGGTTGATATTTTCTGCACATACAGGTTCTAGCAAAAGGTCAATTGTTGGTAACATTTGAACTTAGACCAGAGGAAAGCTTTGACATTCCAGTGGGTCTGAGGGGTTGGGGTCCTTGGCATGGCTGTGCCCATCAATAGTACAGACTCTCTCATGGCATTTACTCCCTGCACACCGTACTCTGAGCAAAGGAATAACACGTTCCTTCTGGGCTGGATGTGGTGGCACACACCTTTGATTCTAGCAAGTGCGTCTCTGGGAATATGAATCAGCCTGGTCTATATGGTGAGTTCCAGGCCAGCCTGAACTACGTAATGAGACCATGTCTCAAAACACC